GGAGCAAAAGGTGCCTGAAACGAGGGAGAAAGCAAGTATCTCCAGGGAGAGTGCTCCGAAGCTCAAGTTAGTATTTCCTCAAAGGCAAGATAAAAAACCAGATGGCGCAAAGTTATCACATACCTCTCTTCTTGGGGGGAAGGGGGCCTTTTATAACCACTTCGCACACTCACTCCCAAGCTCCTGTCAGGTCAGGTATGATTACCTCTGCGCTTCTGCCAGTTCGGGTGTCATCACCTCTGCTGGGGCAGAATCGCCACTGCTCTCTTTATCGGAGTCATCTCTGTAACTGGAGGTGGCGGTGGCCGTTGAAGTGTGGCTGTTCAGTGTTAGATCCTAAGTCAGTCAGGTGAGCCGCCTCAGGATACGAACTCCTTTGGTGTCAGGTCAGGTACGGTTTGTTCAGTTTGGCGTCCTGGAGGCGAAGTGCTGGAGTGGTGTGCGAGGTGAAGTCTTGAGTTCGAATAGAGGTGTGGCCCGAACTGCCCTGGGGCGGGCCAGTTCGGGTTGTTGCCCTTTGTGCTCCTTGTAAGGCCCGGGGTCAAAGGGAGAGTTCGAGCTCCTTGTGGGAAGCTCGGACCGCTGGTTCCTCCTTTCGGAGCTCGCGCCTTGGGTGTACTGCCGTGCCGAGCTGTTGCCTTTGCCACGTGCTGAGTGGTTACGAGGTCGGGCCAAATCTTCCTTCATCAATTACCTTTATCGGTTTTGCAAATAAATAAAATACAAACGTTAAATGAAAAAATGTAAATGGAACCAAACACATACTTTATCTTGTTTTGAAACTATATTCGGTGAATGAAGATCCACAACCTCATGTTAGGGGTGAGCAGAAAAATTGAACCGACTGAAACCAAATAAAAAAATCGGTTAACCGAACTAGTCAGTTCGATGTTTCTATAAAACTGAAGGTACCGATTCAGTTTTGATTAACCAATATAAAAAACTGGTAGTTAATCGAACCGACCGATATACATATATTTCTATATATTATATATTATATATATATATTTATATATTATATATATTATATATATATTATAAATTAATAAATATGCATTATATATAAATATATATATTTATAATATATATTATAAAAATTTAAAACCCAAAAAATTAACGATTAACCAAACCAATCAACCAAGCAATTAACCAATAGATTTTGATTCGATTTTGATTACCTATTTTTAAAAAACCAATACTACCAATTTGGTTATAAAAAATGGCCCATAGACTTGGGTGACCGGACCTTCTCCTCACAAATAGGCGCTTCACTGGTCACCGTGCATTGAGAACACCAACAAATAAGTATGAAAGATGTTCCCAATGCATAATAAGATATGCGTGTAAAACGCCTGCAAAACGCCAAGTGTTAAGAGCAGATCCGGTCTCCACGATTCGATTGTCGAACCGTGAGCACCCCTCCCTCATGTCACTACGTACGAACCTCTAGAACATTCTCCTTTGCTCTATCGTTACCGCTTCTGTTCAACCTCTTCAACGGTGCATTCCTAGATCCTGGTCCATCAAGAACACACTGAGCATTCGATTGGTTTATTATCTACAGAAATGCTATTCATATGCGGATGTTGACGTCTGTAGGTCATGATTGAATTCGATGTGATCGGATATAAAACCATAGAAGAGAAGGGAGAGATATACCGCTAACCGATTATATACCATGAGTAATATAAATAATATATAATATATTTTATAATTTTAAATGTATTTAAATACAGTTGATGAATGACAAATTTCTTAATTTTTAAATCAAATGAATAGGATTTAAACCTTTTAATTTACAGTTTTTTAAAATATATATAATAAATAATTATTAATTAACATAAATAAAAAGTTGATTAGTGGTAATTAAACAGCCTCGGGTCACGATTCAACCGGCTGGTCCGATCCGATTTTCTAAACACTGGACTTACTTCTACTCGAATGCTGGTGAGTGGTGACGTACAGCTGTGTGATACTGATATCAAATGTCCAAAATTAGCCTCATCAAAAACATTTTCAGAAAAAAAATAAACGAATTCCGATGAAGTACGCTCTCTCTCTCTCGACAGTTTAATCGATCTCAGGCTCTCAGCGGTAGATGTCTGGGCCAGAAAGAATCGTCGATACGTCCATAAACAGATCGCAAGTGCACGTTCCCGTATTGATCTCAAATCGAGGGTGGTTTGACTGTTTTCTGAAGTTTGTGATATACGCAAAAGCAGAGGACGAAAGAGAGAACGAGGAACAAATGACAACCGGATAATAAGAGGAAGAGGGCGTTTAAGAGTTTTTTTAGTATTTTGTTGGCTAATATTTGATTTTGGCGGATATACATTTTTTCTTTTTTTGTGTAAAGTCATGGGCGATTCAAGCGACTCGGTTTCTATTGATGATGATGTGATACCTCTAGGAGGGAAGGTAACAATTATAATATGGAAATCTTGTTTTAAATTGTAAACGTAGATAGGTTTTTCTCTTCACTCTTCTACAATGCCATTTTCTCTTTTTTCTCTGTTTGTTCTTCTGAGCTTTTGCAGGAATGTTTGGTTGAGACGAGCAAAGGTTCTATTTCTGTTTTCGTCTGTGGTGATCAAGAAAAGCCCGCTTTGGTTACATACCCAGATGTTGCTCTCAATTGTATTCATTCGTTCCCCCTACTTTTGTTAGTTTGGTTTTCAGAATTTGAAATTAGTTTTCGCGCCCGTTGGTTGCAGGGTTTTAATGGGGTTTTGTCTTTCAATCTGTTTTTATTGACTTTTAGTGTTTTGTCTGGGTTTTGACAGATATGTCTTGTTTCCAAGGTCTCTTATTTTGCCCAGATGCATCTCCTTTGCTGCTTCACAACTTCTGTATTTATCACATAGATGCCCCTGGACACGAGGTCAGTCTTAGCACTTCTCTCTCTGTCAATGTTGTGTACTCATGTATTTATTTGCTCGGTCTGTTGGAATTCTTTTCTTTTTGCCGATTTTAACATTAAGAGTTCGTGCAGTTGGGAGCCGCGGCCATATCTTCAGATGCTCCCTTGCTTTGCGTGGACGACCTAGCGGACCAAGTAGCGGAAGTTCTTGACTTCTTCCGGTGTGTAAACGTTCTCGTTGTTTGCTTCATTGCTTGTTTCGATTCCTATGTTCTTATGTATGTTCTAATGGAATGGGTTGTTCAGGGATCTCTGGGGTTTCTCTTTTTCTAATGTTTGATTAATTGCTGTCTATGGTGATTATTATTTGTTTTCATTATTGAGATGGATTACTAATAGTAGTAAGAGTGCTTTCTCATTTGAGTCTCTCTTGGTGTTGCCATTAATCACAAAATGCTTTGTCAGGATATTTGACATGTTACGCTTTCAACAGCTTTACATCCTGGATCTGCTTGGATGTCTGCTTTAGATGCTTTTTTTTTTTCTCTTCTATCACCAAATACTCAAAATTAGCCATTTCTGTTTTGCTTAGTTAAGCAAACTGGGCTGTGTTATGCTTTATTTGTGTCGGGGTACATCACACCATTATCTGAAAAATAGTAGGATATGCCAAAAACAGGTTTGGTTCAATCTTATTTATTTGGAAACATAATACGCTGCAAGGCCAGCTACCTCTTTCCAGTTTAAGATGTTATAGATCCTACTTATCAACATCACATTTGTTGCCTAACCAACATTGTCTTGTTTCTTGATCTAACATAACGAGGAAAATTCTACTTGAGAAGTTTCATAAAAAATGTGCATTGGGTCATGTGAATGATTCTTGGACTGAGGCATGAAATATGATATCCTGGGGAATAAGCATGAAATCCAGATTACCTTGTGTCCATATGTAAAAATCCTGTCCAATGAATGTATCCTGAGTAATAAGTTTTGACATTTCAGATGAAGTGATTGCTGTTACATCATTATCATCATCATCATCATCATCATCCAAACCTTATCCCAACTATATGGGGTTGGCTATATGGGTTCTATTTTTCCAATCTGTTCTATTTAATGCCATATCCATTGTTAAACTATGAGTGCTTAAATTATGACTGCCGATACATGTACTCAATTAATAACTGTCAGAAACAGGCTTTACAACTGAGAATCTTTTGTCTTAAAATTAATTTAAAGAAAATGCCAATTCAGTTATTGACTGAGGTTTTCCCTTGTTGTTTCTTCTAAGATAAAAAAGTGGCTATTTTAACATAGCTATGTTTTTGGAATAAACAAGTGCTTATCTACTTAATTTAAAGAAAATGTCATTTTTGTTTAATATTCTGAGAGTGGGGCACTTTGTATACTTTAAAAAAAAAAAAGGAAAGCCAAAGTCTAGGTCCATGTCCAGTCTACCCCTCCCAAGATACTAAGTAACTGGGACTAACATTATGTAATGGCCTTTTATACAAGTGCTCATGGATGTATTTTTCTTCTTCGTAAGAGACTTTTGTCTTAGTTTGGTTTGGTAGGAAATCCTGTTTTGGTTAGGGCTGTAATCAAGTCGAATTCAGATCAGATGCAGCCACATCCGAATCTGATTTGATTATTGATACTTCAAATCTGACATGTTGGATTTGGATTTAAACCGAACCTGCTTTGTTGTTCTTAAAATAAAAAATAATTAAAATTTTTAAATTAATTTTTGGCTGGTATAATACATTTATATAAATATAAATATTGAATTCATTAATTATAAATTTTATATAATTGTATGTAATATCTATAATATACATTATGTATGTATGCAGAAATTTTGATTGGATCAGATGTTAGATTAGGTTTTGGACTTTTGGGTTCTAGTGACAGCCTTATTTTTGGCATAGTGAATAGCAATATATCCCATCTTGTCAGTATGACCCCTAGATGAGCTTAGAGCCTTTCTGATGACATTATACTCCATATCAACCTTTTGACATTACAGGAACCTCCAATTCATTGTGAATTGGATTTTATATGATCACCTAATTTTTCTTCTTCCTAGGAACTATTCTTCTCAGGCTGATAAGCGTGAAAACACAGGTTCAGTTCTGAGAACAGTCACTTTGTGCAAGAAAAATGTTGAATGTTTGGTCCGCATCCAGTCTAGCCCTCCCAAGACCTTGGTCAACCAGGGCCAACACTGGGTAATGGTCCTTTATCTTTCTTCTTCCTATCCAAAATAAACATGGCTCTATGACTTGTGATGGATATTATATTTATTGCACAGACTATCACGATAAATTTTATAGTTATTTCTTGCAGAGGATCTGTGGGAAATGTTCATGTGCATTTGCTCATGTGGTATATAATATATTAATTAATGCTTATTGCCTTTTAATGTACTGATCTGGTAGGCTGATTTTCTTGCATGGTACATGTTTCCTATTTTTTGTTCCCTTTGTATAACCTATTGTTTTTGATATAGTAATCTCTTTGTGTGCATATGGGGATTTTCACTTCTACAGTCTTAAAATTTTGATGTCTTAACTCTTATCCCATTGATAAAAATGACTTTCATGTCTTTCCTACCTTGGACCTATAATTTTCTTAGGCAGAGTTTGGGAGTGCTTATTTGAAAAATAAGTGCTTATTCTAATAAGTGCTCATGAGTGTTCGGTGAAAAACACTTATTTCAAACAGGGGTAGTATAGGTATTTTCTAAATGATGTGGCAGGCCAGAAAGGAAATAAGCACTTTAAAATAAGTCCACAATTTGGGCTTCTTGAATAAGCGCTTATTCTCAGGAATAAGCACTTATTTGGGCCTATTTCCCAAACACAAATAAGTGCTTATTGGTGTATTCCCAGCCCAAAATAAGTGTTTATTTTTAAGCATTCCCAAACTTAACCTTAATGATTAAGAGGATCATCTTTGGCATGACTTTCTCATGAAACTCAATCTTTGGATAAACTAAAACCTAGTTTTGGTTCCTTCTGGATGGTTCTCTTTATCAGGCTGAAAGAGGTTTTTTGCTTGGGTGTTACTGCTGGAGCTTATATCCTAACACTTTTTGCGGTATGTTCTGCTTTTCATATTGTAGCTGCCCTTTAGTGCTTTGTTTGGTTGCAATAAGATGAATAATTTCCTGAAATTGCTATTTTATGTGTTTGGTTAAAATTGAGGTTACTTATAAAAAGAGCATTTTCTAAAATGCAAGTTTTAGTTATGGTAAATGACATTAATTCTGATTTTCTGTAAGTCATTTTCCAAAAAGAGGTTGGCTATTAGAACTTAGAAGTTTTATCCTGCAACACTCATATTTCTTAAGAATCTTGACCATTAAAATTTGTTTTCCAAGTCGAACTAAACACCAAAAAAAATTGGCATATGATTTGTTTTCTTATTAAACATCAGTTTTCTAAGACTGATAAAAAAAAACATCAGTTTTCTAAGGAAACTATTTTCTTACCTTCATTTTGTGTGCAACCAAACATATGTTACTCCATATTATTAGTGTTGCAAGTTATCTTCTGTGATGCAGATGAAATACAGGGAACGTGTTCTTGGCTTAATCCTTGTTACCCCGCTTTGCAGAGAACCTTCATGGACAGAATGGCTTTGCAACAAGGTTTTATCCCTTTCATCAATTCATTTATACCCATAAAATATGAAGTATAATATGGCACACCAGCTCACCATGGACAATAGGACCTTGCTTCTCTAGCAGCATTTCTTGACTGCACCTGTTTCCTCCCATGCTGTATCCACTAATGACATCTCTTGGATAGGTAACCCAACAAACTGCACAACAGGATATCCTGCCTATCTGATGCACCACTTTTGTAAAGCTGATTAGAATGTGCAATGGTTCTCAGAGATCATTAGTTGGATGGTTGGGATCATGGGAGATTTGGCCTATTACCAGTTCAATTGGTGGCTTGTTAATGACCCGCCAATGAACCAATACAATGGGTGGTAATGCATGGAGGGAATCAAGGCTGCTTCATCCATGGTGGGTTTGTTGCTACTCCACAATATACTTTCTCGGAAAAAAAGTTTATCCTTGCTTGCTGTGTCAATGTGAAGTTTCATATTTGAAAAGAAAAATAAATATTTGTACCTTGCAGGTAATATTGAACTTGCTCTACTTCTATGGTATGTGTGATATGGTGAAAGATTCCCTTCTTCAGCGTTACTTTAGTAAGGTACTTTGACTTCATTTGGATTTTTGGGTTGTTTTTCTGTGTTCCTATTTTGTATGTTTTGTGATTTTTTATCATGTCTCAGGAAGTAAGGTCTGATCTGTATGGTGCAGAATCTGACATAGTACAAGCTTGCCGAAGGGTAAGGAGATTTCCACTACAACCTCTGGTTTCCTTGATGTTGACTTTTTTTTGGAGAAATTGTTTAGACCATAGAGCCCAAGATATTGTGCATACAAGATTGTGATAATAGGGATGGGGCTTCAGGTTTCATTCAATCTACTCAAGTGATTATATACCTTTTAGACTTTTTTCCATCCCAAAGTAGTGTGTCATATGCTGGACATTTTTGACCCTTCAGAATTAGTGACTTGTCTGGGTTCTGCAAGGTGAGGATCATCAAATTGATTCCTAATTCCCCCCTACATGTAAATCATGATCACAGCTGTTCAGTTTTTAGAACCCTTTCAACCATTTTAAATGACAACCTTGTATTTGTCCTTGAAATCTGTCACCTCAAGTACAGTTTTAATTAGATCTTTGCACTTTTTGGTTTTGATTGAACAGCTACTGGATGAAAGGCAAAGTTCAAATGTCATGCATTTTCTTCAAGCTATTAATGAGTAAATTCTTGTACCTTTTTACTTGATTACATTGAAGATATACAAGGAGAATCTTCTGTCTAGTTCCTCCTAGAGTTCTTAGTGCCCAGGTTCGATGGGAATTATAGTATGACCCTGATTTAACACATTTTTTCTTTGATGCTTTGGTATCCGACATATTTAACCTCATAGTCATGATATGGACATGCCCAAAAATGATATATGTTGGAGTATATAATTCTATACAGTATTCCTTGTAAGTTTTATACTATAAAATTGGTGATGACTCACCATACCTTCAAACAGAATAGAAAAAATATCAGGCATACCATAATGGTTTAATGTAATGTTAAAATATGTGATTGTATACAGGATTACATGTTTAAATTTTATGCTATAAAATTGGTGATTGTCCTCATACCTTAAAATATATTTTATTGGAAGGTGTAAATTAAAAAAAAAAAATTCAAGTGGTGCAAAAGTGCTACCATCTCTAACCAAAACAAAATATATTATAAGTAGCTATTCTTTTCTCTACTGATAAAAAAATAGCTATTCTTTTCTCTGTAGTATTTTTGTATTTAGCAGGCCCATCACCTAAAACCTATACTATCAAAATGTAGCATCCTCATCTGTATCAAGGATGAGTAGCACAAGTAATTAATGTAAACAAACTGTCAAGTTAAAAGGATACATCAATTGAACAACACCAACAACAATATAAAGAACATATGTAAACAATCTATTATTGGCAGCTCAAATATTTCGGCTTTCCCCTAGTAACAAGCGTATGCTATCAGCTGTCTAAAGTCAATACCTGGCATTCTTACCACTACAAAATAACATTGCATATACAGGTAGCTAATTAAAATTACATATTTTTGTTAACTAGATTCACAGCAATCATGAGTATAAACCACAGAAAAAAGACAATCGTTTTTTTTTTTGATGAATAAAAAAAAAAGACATAATTGTTAGCGCATGGTTTCTACTTACCTCTTTTTATGCATCACCTGCTTATTGATTTTGGAAAGAAAATAGAACGGAAGGACAATTTATCTAGCATTGAGTCCATTCCTTTTACCAGTACACCCATAGTAATTAAATGCTTATTTACAGGAGGCATGATCTGACAGAGGACTTGAAGAAGCTGCAATGTAAGAGTCTCATTTTTGTTGGTGAGAGTAGTCCCTTCTATGCTGAGGCTCTCCACATGAGTTCCAAAATGGACAGGAGAAGCAGCTCTCTTGTAGAGGTTAGCTTTTACTTCTCTTTCCTTCTTTATTTTCCTTAAAGTAGAGCACTAAGTTTATGTCACAACTAAAGATTTATTACTTAAACTGATCAATTATTGTTGCAACTATTTTTGGGATTCAAGTGTATAGCTTGTACTGGCTTGGATTTTCTTTTATACAACTTAACCAAACATTGTCCTAATTATCAGTGTCAAGGTTTTAAAAATCGACTTGGAACCGGAGCCGTTCTGGACACCAATTTCCGAGTCGACGGTTTGAACAAACGACCTGTTCCAACGAAAAAGATAAAATATAATAAAATAAAAATGCCCAAAACCGCTGGGTCGATAGTTCAACTGCCTAGGCAGCTAGGTCGTTGACCAATTCAACAGTTTTTGTCCAGAGACCAGGTTTGGGGTAAAATGGAACCGGTTGCTTGGACAGTTCCTGGGCGAAATGGTCTGACCGTCTGGGTCAACAACGGTTTGAAAACATTGATCAGTGTTACTACAGAAATCTTGTTTTGCTATTCCACTTATTAAGGGAGATGTGAATCGGTCTTCTAATATCAGGTTTAAAATCATTGATTAATAGTACAAATTAGATCTGAATGATAGTGCAAGAGCTGTGTATGTCGAAGAGAAGAGGCAAGAAGAAGAAGTCGAATTAGTCTTCCTTCTCACCTAACCCTATTTTTTATTAATCTCTAAAACAAATTGATGATGACAAGTATACCCTTAAGTGGGTGGCCAGCTTGGTAGTTACATAAAGAAAATAAAATAAGAACAAATAACAGGCCC